TATATATATATATATATATATACGCTCCATACCTGGTTGAGAAGCATCCTCTCGGTATAGATCACTCTGTAGAAATGGGAAAGGGCACGGACACTTCAGCACTCGTGACGGACACAGCATCTCCTTAGCTTCAAACACACCGGCAACGCTAGACATCTCAAACAGGCGTACGCTGAAGTCGTACGGTCTGTCATCTGAAAAGCAACATTTCCATGATACCATGTATAGACAGCAAGGGAGCAAGTTAAGTACCGTATATGGTTTTTGCGCACAGATATTTTCGCGAATTCAGACCTGACGGACAATTTCGCGAGTGGTTAATTTCGCGGTCGGTGAATTCCCGAATCTGTGAAGAATGGCGTGTTGTTATTTTCGCATGTTGTTATTTTCGCGGTCGGGGACACGTTCGCGAAATTCGCGAAAATTAAACCACCGCGAAATATACAGCATATACAGTAACTGATGGACTAGTACAGTCAGTAACCAATAATTACACAGCAGCAATAGTCTCAAGCATTCTGGTGACTGTAGAATAATGCAAAAATTGTAAAAGGGACACTTCTCCATTAAGCAGCATTTTCACTCGCCTTTCCTCTCCTATCGACCGTTTCATCTTACAAAATTAATAGCATAAAGCCAGTGTCTGATTATATTTAGCGTATGGGCTACAAGCTGTACAGAGCTATTATTCTTATTTATTTATTTATTTATTATATATACTGCCCTTATTCTTATAGTATTATTTTATACGGCGAGTCTTCCAGCATTAGTGTCAGATGTAATTAATTTTACCTCTTCGTAAGGAATGGTATTGGTGTCGTGGAGAAGCAATCGGTTTATCTTTTTCACTTTTATCCTCCTCATCGCCACTCTCCTCTTCATCATCCAGTTCTGCTTTGACCTCCTCCTTCTCCTCCTCCTCCTCCTCCTCCTCCTCCTCGTCATCGTCGTCTGAGAGATTGGTGGTTGCTCCGAGTGCAGTTAGGAATGGCTTGTCGTCCCGGCCCTCCTCCATGACCGTGACCGTGAGCTCGACCCCCGGGCGAAACCCGATTTCTGGTGGTATCCTACATCGAGACCAACGCCATCATTAAAGTGATTACGTCACCGTAATTAGTAAAAATTTAAAATATATTTCAGAGATGCCAACACATATTTGAAGCAATCTG